CACAATCGAGATCGATAAGGTTAGCTAGGTGCGTAGCTATGCTCCGTCCATGTAGCATGCGAGCACGTCTACCACCAATACCACGACCCTTCCCTTTGCGATGAAATACTCGGCGCGGTGCTCGTCTGAATTTCCGAACAAGCTTGCTCATATGTCGCCTCCAGCGGCGTTTAACACGATGATAGCCCGGGTATAGGCATTGCGCAGCACGCTCATCTCTGGTCTGTAGATCGGGCCACTCGACTTCATCAATACCAGCATAGGAGCAGGTGCCCGCGTCCGCTCCTGAACTAAAGGCAAATCGTTTCGTTGGTCTGCTGAGCCCCACAGGGCGGTCGCAGCAGGTGATGACCCGCTGGCTGCGGCAGCAGCCAATCAATTTATGGCTGGAGTGGTTGATTGTGTGCTGCTGGTCGCCTTGCCTAGGAGCGTCGCACATTCGCGCGGCTTCTGATCGCTCCAAATGTTGCTCGACGCAGCGGGCGGTGCGCCGCTGATGTCGGTATGGAAGGTCCAAGCCGCTCTAGCATTGAAGACCCCACCGATGTCTCCAGGCGTGCGCCCAGCTACGTGCCCAGAGCTGCGCAACCGCTCCAGTAGTTGATCGCACTGTTGTTGCGTTCGGGGCATCTCGCGGTTAAGGGGCTGTAGGAGCTGGGATGCTCGAGAAGTGCCGACTCCCAGAGCTCGGAACTACAGGAGCGTCAAGATTTCGATGTCTGGGATGTTGAATCTGGCTGAGTCTGCTTCCAGCCTTGCCATGTGGAGTCGGGCCTGTACCAGATCGATACGGTCACCCCGATCGATCCTGAATTCGACGAAGGCTGTGCCTCAGGTGAGCTGTCACCCATCCTCGAAGATCTCGAATATGTGATGAGGAGAAAGATGATGTACGTAACGCCGTCGGTACGCTGGCCCAGTAGGGCTACTCTATAGCAGCTGATGGTTGCGAATGGTACTCGCATCGCCTGGGATTTGGCTAGGCTAGCAAGGCGGCTCGTTGTGGTGGAATCATAAACCCACGAATCACGTTCAGCCACGCGTGGACTGCGCAAACGGATTCGCGGAAACGAACGTTGCCAGCAGGGTCCCAGGAAGGCCCCTTGGTACGTGTTTGGTCCATTCCTCCTCCCTGCATGCGTCCTATCGCTAGACCAAGACACACCCATATCATGACAAAGACGGCAACCTTAATGTCATGCAGGGTCACGTCGGTGTTGATGATGTCGTGGTCGTCGTGTTTGTTGGCTGACGTGTCTGAGCCTGTCTTGATTGTGAGCTGACGTGGCCATTAGTCTTCGGGTAGGTGCAGGATGCGCCTTGGTATTTTGTGCCCGTCCGCGATGCGGGGAGATGGGTGAGATAGAGAGTTACAAATTTGCTGGTGGTGGGTAGGCGCGTAATGACTTATTGCCGTGGCATGCACGAGTAAACCGACGTGGCCTTCGGTAGATGTGCCTTCACGTGTAGGCCAGTCTCCTGGCTCGGATCCCTGGAGTAAAGCTGGCGCAGTAGGATGTGCCACCATAGAAGTAGCCCACCACTCTGCGCCATGGACTACCAGCATTATGGTTAGAGCCAGTCGCAAGAGGAGGCCAATTCTGTTACCAAGTCGAGAGGGACATGGTAAATCGTACCATATAGTACGCCTTAAGCGTACCGAAGTACCCCATGATTTGTCACTGCAATAAGCATGAGCAGGTAGATGAGAGATAAGACAGGGAAATAAAGGATGCATCGTCGGAGAAACTGGACATCTCCTTTTTTCCGTTACTCGGGTGCTATAGTGCCCCACGTATGGAGCAGTCAAATAGAACGAAGCCGCTTGAGCCCAAGCGGCGTCGGGACGCAGGCGCGTCGCTCGTATCTCGCCTTTGACCTCCGTTCAAAATTACGCGGCGAAACTTCGGCGCAACCCCCAAGTTGGCGGTAACGAGGCGGCCACGAGGCGGCCGCGAGCGGCGACGCGGCGAAACCTCGGCGGACGCGTCCAATTCCTGAATGACGAAACCTCCAAGCCCCACCCAACCCGATCCAACTCCTCATCCCTCCTGCTCCTCGCGGCAACGAGGCTGCAACGAAACGGCAACGCGGCGAATTCTCGGGACACCCTCACGCCGCACTCGGCGGCCACGAGGCGGCAAGGAAGCGGCAACGTGGCGAAACCTCGCCGGATCCACCCAGCGCACGAGGCAGCCACGAGGCGGCCACGGACGGCAAGATGGCGAAACCTTGCCAGACCCACCCAGCGCAGGAGGTGGCCACGAGGCGGCCACGGGCGGCAACGTGGAGAATCCTCGCCGAGCCCATCCAAGCCCTTAGGGACATAAGCAAGAACCCCTAAGTGCAAGCACTGTGCTCGCTCGGCCCATGAGCGACCCCAGAGATCCCAAGGGAGCTCCCAGAATGCCGAAGAGCCGGAATCAATAGGTGGCAGGCCCCAAGATGGCCCTAAAACAATGAAGACGGCCCAAGAGGCCCCGAAGACCTCCCCAAGTCAGACCAAGAGCCACGGCCCCAAGACAGCCCTGAAGGGCCCCCAGACAGCCCAAGAGGCCTCCAATGAGGGAACCAGAGGCTCCCAAGAGGGCCCCCAAGAGGGGGAATCCGAACTGACATGTCGAACCCGTTCCCGAAAGATGGCCCCCGACCGCCAGCAGGCCCCCGAAAGGCCCCCAAGAGGCCCTCAAGAGGCCCCCAAGGCCCTCGGAGGCGAAACAGATCCCCCCAAGAGGCCCCAAGAGGCCTTCAAGACGCCCCTGGAGATCCCAAAAATACCGCCGAGACGCCGCCGAGAGGCCTCCCAAGAGACACCAAGAAGCCTCCCAAAGAGGTGACCTATCCGCGACAAAGTTTAGCCCCAAGAATGACCCAAGAAGCCATCGAGAAGCCTCATCCTCATCCTCCTCTCTCCTTCCTCCTCCTCCTCCTCCTCCTCCTCCTCCTCCTCCTCCTCCTCCTCCTCCTCCTCCTGCTTCTGCTCCTGCTCCACCTCCTCTTCCTCCTCCTCCTCTTCCTGCTCCTCCTCCTCTTCCTCCTCCTCCTCCTCGTCCTCCTTCTCCTCCATCCGTTATTATTCTAAGTAACTCCTCCCTGTCGCACCCCGAAGCGTGTCGGTAGGGCGGGCCGGGCGTTTCGCCTGAAATTGTCTCACTGTTTACGATTATTGAGCTGAAAATTTGCAGCAACCCTTTCACGGATGGAGAGCGGGCCGTTGTCTAAATGTGGTTTCGCCTTAGCGCCGCGCACATTCGTCTTAAAAGTTTGCAAGAGCTTCACGGATTGAGGGCAGCACCTTTTCAAAATGATGGTCTCGCCGTAGCGTCAAGCGTGGTTGACGTCCCAGAAACTGGGTTTTGTCATGATGTAGGACTGCCAGGGCGCAACAGTTACGTTGATTCGCAGTGTTGAACTCCCAGGAATGGTGCTCTGGCACGATGTAAAATCGTCAGAACGCAGCAAGCGGCGTTGAAGTCGCAGGAATGGTGTTCTGGCACGGTTCAGGATTTTCAGCTCGTTGTCTTCCAACGGGGCACTTCCTCCGTGAGAATGAACCCATGTAGGGACCTATGAAGAGGGTACTTGGAGGTAGGGTTTATTGCCATCGTGGATGAGCCTTGGGTTTACACTGGTCCTCCTCGTCCTCCTCCCCCTCCTACTCCTCCTCCTCCTCCTCCTCCTCATCCTCCTCCTCCTCCTCCTCCTCCTCCTCCTCCTCCTCCTCCCTCCTCCTCCTCCTCCTCCTCCTCCTCCTCCTCCTCCTCCTCCTCCTCCTCCTCCTCCTCCTCCTCGTCCTCCTCCTTCTCACTCGCCACGGGGCGTCCGCTAGCCGCCATTTAACAGCTCTGGACGCCTCCAGGCACCGTTTTGTGGCCTCTTCGGAATCTCTCCTGGGCAATCTTGGGAGCCGCTCGGAGCCCTCTTGGTGTCATTTGGCCCGTCCCCAATGCTCTTCGAGCTATCTTGAGCCGGAAACCCGAAGATGCCAAAGCCTTCAAAACCTTGCGCCTCTTGGAGCTCGCTTGGAGCTCGCTTGGAGCCTCTCGTGAAACACTCGGGGCCTCTCCGGCCATGTTGGAATATCTCCACTGGCTGTCGGGCCGTGCCGTCCTGGAGGCCTCTCGGTCCAATCTTAGGCCGTCTGGCGTGGATACGCTTCCCGCCCGCGAGGAGGAGGGAGCCCAGAGCCCCGCTTCCGGTCGTCGAGCCCCCTGCTTGCGACACTGGCTGTGGCAGGCCGTGCCCCACCCACCCCGGCTCTCGGCCCCTCAGCGGTGCTTGTCCTGCTGCTGCCCTGCTCGCGGCAGCCATTTCTCGCACTTGCAGCGCCCCACGACGCCAGGCCAGTGACCATGAGGGGACTGCTCCCAGACCACCTCGCGTCGCGAAATCTCAGGTGCTTTCGGCCTCTGGGTGGCCTTACCGGGCCTCGGGACCGTCACAAAAGACTCAGGATGAGAAACTGGCCCCGAGGAAGAGCTCCAGACCAGACCTGTGGGGGTTCACGCCACGAAAGAAATCGCGACGTTGGGGGGCTGGGCTCAGAGGCCCTCTTAGCCCAGTCCCCCACCTTTCTGTGATTTTTCACGAATCCCCCTCTCTTTGGCCCCCCCCCTTAAGAGAGGTCCAGAAGGGAAGGGGTCTTGGGAGGAGCCCAAGATCCAACGTCTTGACTGTTTCACATCGTGGACCCCACGAGATTTGGACCTGTTCCCCAGGGCCGGCCTTTTCATCCCGAGCCTCTGCTTGACGGCCCCCGAGATTCGTGAGAGCCCCGCAGGCCAAAACGGCCGAACCTTCCCACCGTGCTTGTTCCACGACGCGATGACGGGGGGGGAGGCGGGAGGGGAGCTCCTCCTCCTCCTCCTCCCCCTCCGCCTCCTCCTCCATTCCGAGCGAGGCGGGAAGGGGCGAAGGAAAAGGAGGCGGGGGCTGCCAGAGTTGAGGGCTGCTGAGCACCAGCAGGTATCCAAAAGTGGCGGGGAAGAGAGCGGCGAGGCCTTACGGTAGTCGAACTTGCGGAGGAGGAAGTCGAGCTGAGTCTCCTTCTTTCTCTTGACCTGGCAGCCAGGCGGAACGAACGAACGAACGAACGAACGAACAACCACCGCTGCGGACACCATCCTGGCCTAGCTGACACCAGGTGGGCGAGGCCGTGGCCTCAGGAATCTGGTGTGTCTGAACAACATGCAATGCGAGATACATTGAAAAAATCAAGAGAGAGAGAGAGAAGGGAAGGGGAGAGGTCCTTGGAGTCAGCGTCGGCGCGGAGTTCGGTATGTGCGTGTCTGCGTTTTTGTGGGAGGGAGTAAGCCGGGCGAAGGTGCCACTCGAGAGGACCAGCATCTACGTAATCGGCGGTAGCCTGGAGTAGGAAGGGCCGAGCGATTCTTGCTTGAGCGCTCTTCCCTCCAGGGTGGGACAACCAGCCTTGGCAGTCAAGCCCACCAAGAGGAAGGAGGGAGCTGGAGAATGAGGAGAGGCAGGGGCAGCAGGCAGCAGAGAAGGGGGAAGACGGAGGGAGGGACGACGAGAGATGAGGGGGGAGGAGGAACAAGGGAGCAGAGGAAGGAGGTACCGAGGGGAGGGGACGGAGGAGGGGAAAAGGGGAGGGAGAGGGGAGAGGAGGGAAGAGCGATCAGGGAGGGAAGAGAAGAAGGAGAGGAGTATGAGCGCTGCAGGGAGCAAAGAGCCTGAAGGCAGAGAAGCAGGATGCAGGAGGACAGCGAAGGGACAAGGGGAGGGCGGAGGTGCAGGAGAGAGCAAAAAGGAAGGAAGGGGGGAGGGGGATGGAGACGGCGGCGGCGGGAGAGGGAGTGGGGAGACAGAGGACGTGGGCTGACTGGGTGGATGGGAATGGGGATGAGCTCGGCGTCTGAAGCGGACTGGCCTCACAGAAGTCGCGAGAGGACAGATCAAGGCGGGGCCCAGGGCGGGGCAAGCGCTGTGGCCCGTTGACGGTGTGGTCTACATTGTAAGCTCTGCAATATTCCTCTTCCGAGGCGGGCACTGGCTGCACAAAGAGATTCCTTCCGACAAGGCACACGCTGAGATTCACAAATCAACCTCGCTTACAATTGTCGTGCCGCGCCACGCCGCGACGGGGGCCGCGCCCTTACGGGTCGAAGAGGGCTCCCTCGCAGTCTCTACATCGGCGGCCACGCGCCAAGCGTCGTTGCGGTCACGGTCTGGGTCAAGCGAGCGGCAAGCGGAGCGGGGCGAGAGGACCAGAAGAAGAGGCAAGCGCCAGGACGGCGAGAGCGACAAGACGCGGAAGCGAGGCGAAAAAGGAGGCGGAGGCGGGGAGGAACAGGGCAGGGGGCGAAGGCCGAGGCAGTGAGCCCTCCCCTCTGGCGGCAGCATGTCGCGAGGATGATCGACGGAAGAGCCAGATCACAAGAGAAAGGGTCTGACTGGCAGTGGGTGGCCTGACGCTCCATGTCTATCACCTCGTCGTCCTCGCCGGGTGTGCTGTCGAGCCCGCGCAGGTGGCCCACCCTGGAGGCGTCACAACTCCCTATCGCTGGCGCGGCAGAACCGCACGGTAGGTCAGCCGGAGTGCGGGACAGCGCCGCTGGGCGAAGGCAAGGTATGAAACTACACCGGCCTGGCGCCATGTAAGGAGACCCCGATCAGCAAATAATGATGCTAGGAGTCCATCGGGCCCGATTAAGCCCGCGATTGAGGCGGGCTGAGCGGGATTAATCCAGATTGCACGGGAGTAGGCCACATGAGGGCGGCTTCCGACAACGAATGTACCAGCGCCGATGCTGAACGTGACCTCCCAGGAGTTGCAAACGAGATAGTGTACGAAATTCCACCAGCCTTTTAGGGCATGAATGTTCTAAGAAGCTCGTTCTGGTACCCCTCTATTCCCCTGCGGAGAGGGAGGTCCTCCTACCCCCTCCCCCTGGGCCTGGAGCCCCCTCCCCGCGAGGCGCCAGGGGGTCCTGTTCGGCCCCAGGTGGCTCCACGAGGGCCACAGGGAGCCCAAGATGGCTTTCAGGATCGCTCAAGATATCCCAAGATGGTTTCAGATGGCCTCCAGCATGTCTCCAAGAGCCCACAAGATCGCCTCAAGACGGCCCCGAGTGCTCTCCGAGCCTCCCAAGGAGGCCACCAGGAGGCCATAATCCTTCAAACCAGTGTGTTGTTCAACATGTTTTGCCTTCTCGCCTTTTTCTCTTCCAATGGGCCCTTGAGGCCTCAACATGGCTCCAAGATGGCCCAAGGTGGGCCCAAGAGGGGCCAAGAGGAGCCCAAGACGGTCCAAAGAGCGCGCCCCATGAGGACCCCAAGTGAGCCCCAAGAGAGCCTGAAGACAGCAGGCCCCAAGAGGCCTCCAAGATGGCACCAGGGCCCCACGATGGCCCCAAGAGGCCTCCAAGACGCTGCCAGGGCGGAAGATCACAAAGGTCTTGACATTGACCCCTGTCGTCGTCGTCGTCGGCGGCGGCGGCGGCGGCCCTGGGTTCGCTCCCTAAATGTTCATCGTAATCGTAGTCGTACTCGTCGGCATCTTCGTCCCCATCGTCCTGCTACACATCCCTGATCAGGGCAACTCGCTCGGTGTCTGCTTTTGGATGGGCTGGTGGGGATACAACTTTGTTTGAACGAAAGCGTCGGGCTCTAGGTCGGGGCTGGCACCCCCCGAGGAGGGATCCAAGGAAAAACAACTGGCGACAAAACATCCGTGTCACCGCAGAAGACAGTAGTCACCAGAAGACCCCGACAGCGCAGCAAACTCGCGACCAATCGCTTCGTGAAGCGCATACCACCTTCAGGGGACCCACCATGCGCACCCACGCATGCAGACCTCGGTGTCGCAACCAATGCTGTTCCACCACTGCCCCCGACTGCGATCCCTCGAGTCGAGCGGCACGTGCAGCACCGCACGCCCACCGAAGCACGCACGGCAAACAAGGGACGGCACGGCACAGCGCGGCAGCGCACAGGGCGCACAACACGAACTTCACCTCCCTGTCCCGCCCAGGCTCTCCGACCTCCCGCCATTCTTCGCTTGCTCGTTCACTCCCTTCTCCTCCTCCTCCTCCTCCTCCTCCTCCTCCTCCTCCTCATCGTTCTCCTCCTCCTCCTCCTCCTCCTCCTCCTCCTCGTCCACGTCCACGTCCTCCTCCTCCTCCTCCTCTCCTCCTCTCTCCTCCTCCTCCTCCTCCTCCTCCTGATCCTCCTCCTCCTCCTCTCCTCCTCCTCCTCCTCCTCCTCTCCTCCTCCTCCTCCTCCTCTCCTCCTCCTCCTCCTCCTCCTCCTCCTCCTCCTCCTCCTCCTCATCATCATCTATCATCATCATCATCATCATCATCATCATCATCATCATCATCATCATCATCATCATCATCATCATCATCATCATCATCATCATCATCATCATCATCATCATCCTCATCATCATCCTCATCATCATCATCATCATCGTCGTCGTCATCATCATCATCACCATCATCATCTTCATCATCACCATCATCATCATCAGCATCATCATCATTCATCATTCATCATTCATCATCAGCATCATCATCAACATCATCATCATCATCACCATCATCATCATTATCATAATCATCATCAGCAGCATCATCATCGTCATCATCATCATCATCACCACCACCACCAGCATCATCATCATCATCATCATCTTTATCCTCCTCCTCATCATCCTCATCCTCATCCTGGTCATGACATTCACCACCATCATCAGCATGATGATCATCATCAGCATCATCATCAGCATCAGCACTATCATCATCCTCATCATCATCATAAGCATCATCATCAGCAGCATCATCGTCATCATCATCAGCAGCATCATCGACATCATCGGCATCATCACCATCACAATCACCATCACCACCATCATCAGCATCAGCAGCATCAGCATCATCATCTTCCAAATCCTCATCCACATCATCATCCTCCTGACCATCCGCATCCTCATCATCCTGCGCCTCCTCCTCACCAGCATGAGCATCATCATCATCACCACCACCATCATCATCAGCAGCAACAGCATCGCGATCGTCATGTCAAGTCGAAGAGGCGTCGGCATATCCTGCGCTGTCCGATCTCCGACCTGACAAAACACCAAACGCAGATTGCTCGCATCATTTCTCGGCCCGTTTGGGGACGCCCCTCTATCTGATACGAATACTCCACGCGATTGATTTGTGACAAGAAATGAGTATGTTGCACCGACAGACATTGGTTACGCTTCGCCTTTGCCAATTTCTCGAGCATGTTTGCAGCGATCATCATATCAAGGCGTTGCGCGCGTGCGGGGGGAGCACGATTCGTGTAAAACAACACCACAAGGGCCACTCGCTCGCACCGGCCGCGAGCGCATGTCGAACTCCTTCCAAAACTTTCGTCGCCGACGCGAAGACATCGTCATCGTTATCGGCGGGCGTGATCAACATCGGCGCCATCGTCAATATCATCGCTGCTCGCATCATCGTGTCTACCGCTGTCGGCGCCACCATGATACCGCGCCCGCCCACGTCACCGACTCGCACTGAAGTGCCCGCTGGAAGCGCCCAGCGGTCAGCGCCACCGCGGGCGCGTCGGTCGCGCCGCACTAGCTGGTCGCCGCGCGCGCTAACATGCGCGGGCCAGCGTTGCCGCAGAGATGCACCAGCGAACGCCAGGCACTCGTCGCAATCGCCGTCGCATTTGTTTTGCAAACCAAGCTGCCGGTGGGCGGGAGGGATGGTTACGCGAACAGTGGAGTGGACAACCCAGCGCGAACAGACATTACTTGCACCTCATATATTGAACCAAATGCATTCTCCTTTCTAAAAATAAAATGGACTCTACCCCCCCGGCGTTATCGGCCCCCCTTTCGGGTATGTGAATCGTATATGATTCTGACCACATGTCCATCCGAAATATGAATTTACACTATCCCGGAGGGGCCGGGCTCGGCCCCCCTGAGGTTCCCTTGTAAAAAACCATACGCGGGGACATCTTGTGCTCGAACATAAGACTGTTTCACGGATCCCTTGCAAAAAATGAAACGAAGTGCACACGCGCGCGTCGTCGCGCGCGCATGCCGAAATCCTTCAAAAACCTTCCGTGTCGGAAGGATTTCACAATCGAATTTCCAAAAAAAAACAAAAGAACACAGGGTTTCGCAACACTGATTTGCAAAAAAAAAAACTTACGCGCGAGCTCTTGCGAAATCTTAAGAAAACCATAGGTTTTTCAATATGTTCACGACATGCTACCAAACGGGCCTCGCGCGCGCATGTCAAATCTGTCGCACGCCCTTGCGCGTGTGCCGTCGCAAAAATCCTCTGCAAAACATGGGACGAAGTGCAGACGCGCGCGTCGTCGCGCGCGTATGCCGAAATCCTTCCAAATCCATCGGTTTCGGAAGGATGTCAACATCGTGTGTCCAAAAATCCTACAAAAACACAAGGTTTCGCAACACGGATTTTCAACAAAAGCGTGCGCGCGCGATCTTGCGTCGTCGTCGTCGTCGTCCTCCCTCCTCCCGCGTCCTCGTCGTCGTCGTCGCCTACGTCGTCCTCTGTCTTTCCTCGTGTTCGTCGTCGTCGTCCTCTTTGGCGTCGTGGTCGTTGCCGTCGTCGTTGTCGCCGTGGTCGTCCTTTGTCCTCCTCCCTCGTCGTCGTCGTCGTCGTCCGTCGTCGGCGTCTCGTCGTCGTCCCTCCTATTTCGTCGCCGTCGTCGTCGTCGTCGTCGTCGTGGCCGTCGTCGTCTTCCCTCCTCCCTCGTCGTTGTCGTCGTCGGCGTCGCCGTCCTTCCTCCTTCTTCGTCGTTCGCGTCGTCGCCGTCCTCCCTCATCCCTCGTCATTGTCGTCGTCGTCGTCGTTGTCGCCGTCGTCGTCCTCCCTCCTCCCTCGTCGTCGTCTTCGTTGGCGACGTCGTCGTCTTCGTCGTCGTCGTCGGCGTCGGCGGCTTCGTCGTCTTCGTCGTCGTCGACGTCGGCGTCGTCGTCGTCGCCGCCGTCGTCGTCGTCGTCGGCGTCGTTGACGTCGTCGTTGTCGTCGTCGGTGTCGTCATTGTCGTCGTCGTCGGCGTCGTCATCGTCGTCGTCGTTGTCATCGTCGGCGTCGGCGTCGGCGTCGGCGTCGTCGTCGTCGTCGGTGTCGTCGTCGTCGTTGTCGGCGTCGTCGAAGTCGTTGGAGACGTCGTCGGTGTCGTCGTAGTCGTTGTCGGCAGCGTCGTCGTCGTCGTCGTCGTTGCTGTCGTCGTCGGCGTCGCTGTAATTGCGAAGTGCCATTTGGTACCCACCGTCACGGTCTTAAGAGATTTTGCAAACCAAGTTGCGGGTGGGTGGGTGGGATGTTTGCGCGAGCAGTGGAGTTGGTCAAGCGCGGTGCAGGGTAGTCAATTGCACCACATAGATTACACCACGTAGGTTCCACAAGATAGACTGCACTGCATAGATTGCTCCCAATATACTGCACCACAATGATTTCTAGAAACACACTGTTTGCGGTCCACATTGGCTAACATATTCCATAAAATGCTAAAACGATCCTCTTCCCTCGATCTCTTTCTCCCTCCCTTTCGCAATCCTTCCTCTCCCCCTCCCCGTCCCTACCTCCACCCCTGCACTTTCAGCCCCAATACTGGTCCTCATCCTCCTCCTCGTCCTCCTCCTCCTCCTCCTCCTCCTTCAGCCCTCCCTTCCTCCTCCCTCCCTCCCCACTTCAGGCGCCGCCTCTTGGCGCGCGGCTTCGCCGGCTGGACCGTGACGGCCTTAGCCTGCGAGGCCACCTGCGGGAGTGGCTGGGAGTTCGAAGGGCATCGCGTAATCAAGGTCACCTAACTTCGCGCATCGCGGGGCGCGATGCGCGACGCGCGGTTATCTTCGCGCCCGTGCGAGGCCACCCTGGAGAAGGGTGGCTCTCAGGCCCAGGCCGCGACGCGCGAAACGCGGTTATCTTTTTGCCACCTGGGGTGACGTAGTTTAAACTGCCCTGTCCCCACTGGCATAGCCTTGGCCCCAGTGACCGACTTACCCCTCTAACCCCCAAGATGGGATGGGGGGGAGACGACGACGACGACGACGACGACGACGACGACGACGACGACGACGACGACGACGACGACGACGGCGACGACGACGACAACGACGGCACCGTAGCACCACCCCACATCCACAGGGGGAGGGGCGAGGGCACCGGCCCCCCCTCCACCACGCCACGCCCATAGGGCCACGACCACAGGGGCGGGAGGGGCGAGCTCACTCGCGAGGTCTTCGCGAGGTTCATGGGCGTACCCATCCAGCGGGGGGGGATCGATCCCATTAGCACTAGGGGGGGGAGGGGGGCACCCTGGAGCATATACGACCTTCCCTTCGGATGTCGCGGGTTGGTGGTGCTGAGATACCGTGGCCCAATGTGGATGGGGATGGGTTAGACAATGCTGGGGGGGAAGAATCACGGGCGCGCCCGCTTTTTCCCCGACGCGCTAGTGAGGCCCAGCCAGCGGTGACAGCTATGGGGATGCCAGCAACTGATGTCCACTTCCTCGTGGAGCGCGTGGCAGAACCGAGACTCCTGGAAGCGCACAGTGGCGAACCCGGGGCAGAGAAACCGGGCAACGCAGGACGGAACGGAGAAGGCAAGGCACGTGGGCAGGGCACGGAGCTCCAGTGCAAGAGGCGAAAGCAGGAGTTCACGGTCGCGCCCAGGAGGGGGAGGGGGATCGGGAGGGGGAGGGCCAAGGCAAAGGCGTTAGGGGGTCTGCTGATCCAAGCCTACTGTGGTGGGCGGACCCAGAGGGGTAACATGGATGCCAGACCCTTGCACAGTTGGAATCGCACGCGAGGGCGGCCCGTGTGGGTCCGCCCACCAGGTCCCTTGGGGGGTGCGGAGCCACGTCGGCAAGTGACCACCTGCCTACAAACGCGCAGCAGGAGGGCGAGGTCCGACTGACACCTTCGGGGCGGGGTCGGCGGTGGGGGTGGGAGGAAGGAGGAGCACGCGACCGAAGAGAAGGAGGAGGAAGAGGAGGAGGCGACCGAGGAGGAGAAGCAGGAGGGAGGGTGGGTGGGAGGGAGGGAGGAGGCATGACGAGGGAGGAGACACGAGGTGGGAGGGAAAGAGGGGGGGCAAAAGGGGGGCACGGAGAGATGGAGGGGTCGTGAAAGGAGCCTCGAGGCGTGCAGGAAGCAGGAGGCCGCGCCTGCGCGTCGCCGGGGGTGCGCCGCTGCCGCAGCTGCCAGCGCCCGTCGTCGAGGCCGACGGCAAAGGCGAGGCCGTCGGGGCGCCTCCCGCTGCCCCGCCTCATCTACTCGGCGGCGCGCGACCACAAGCTACGCGCGCGCAGCACAGTGATACAGAACACCGACGCCCACCGTTCTCGCACACCACACCCGACCCACTGGAAAGCTAGAAACGGGAGGTGCGCCGTGCTTCTACGCCGGGGTTCCCATTCGCCACGTGCTGCGCGTGCGACAAGCACATCAAAATTCAAGAGCCATTTGTCTGGTCATGCCGGAGGCGCGCCCGGGGGAAGTGAGAGGGTGCGGGCCTTCTCAAATGAGGCGGGATTTCTCCAAGCCCTCTGGCCTTTCCGGATGACCTTTGCGTCTTTGGAGAAGGCTCATGGGAACTGTCTCAGAAGGGTGGGGGACCTTCCGAGCCCTCTGAAAAAGCCCTCCCTCTCGTCCTCGCACCCTGGGCGCGCCGCCGATGTTCGCCTTCCGGGCAGGTTTGAGCTGGGTCGAATCGCGAAAGCGGATCGGAGACGAATCAGATCGCCAGCTAGCCGGCCCGAATCGAATCGACGTCGGATCGCCGCGTTCGGCTCTGGCTGGCCCACGCCAACGCAGGTGAATCGAACCGAAACCAATCGAATCGGAATCGCGGTTTCACGTCCTCCCCCTCCGTCTCCACATCCTCGCCCTCCGTCAGCATTGTTAGACCTATGCTCGTCCCCCTTAGCGACGCCAGCCTACCGCCTCTAGGAAGAGATAGGCGCCACGGAACCCGACGGGAAACGACATCTACGCATCCCCGTTCGGGTTGGTAGGTCGGCCAGCGGGGAAGAGGCTTACCCGATAGGGGGTATGGACTGGTCGATCGGGGCTGACGTCAGGTCACCTCACTTCGCGCGTCGCGCCGCGCAAGGCGCGACGCGCGGGCAACTTCGCGCCCTCACGCCGCCGCCTTGGAGAAGGACGCCCCTCCAACTCCAGCCGCCAGGTGGTGAACCACGGCTATGTTTGAGCCCCCCTCGAGTGGCACGAAGCCCTCGTCCTCCTTCGGCCCCTCTCCTCGGCCGCAAAGCTGGAGCATGAGACTTCAGGCCTTGGCCCCACGGCACCGAAACTGAATCTCTGGGACCTGGCAACCGAGCGCCCGGGCCTTCGGCCGTCGCCCACGCGCCTTCAGCGCTGGGCTGTACGCCGCGAAGCACTAGCACCTTCTGGCCTCGGGGGCATTCGGCAGCACCCCTGGGGACTTAGCGCTGCCATTCCGCCACTGGGCAACATTGCTTACATGTCGGACGGGCGGGCCTGGAAAGTGATCAGCGCGTGGCAACCCTCTCCAGAGAGAAAACGCCCTCCCCCAGGAGGCCCCACTATGGCTGCAAGATCACCAACATTAGTTCCAGTCCCCCCCAAGGGTGGCCGAATTTGAAAGCAACGCGGTAACGTAACAGATCACAGATCACAAATACAAAACGTCGGAAAGGATGTAATTACTATGGGATGTAATGGGACGCTGGGTGAGAAAAGCGCACAATCTCTTCTCAGGTAGGCCGCGCAGGACTGCGGCGTCACATCGGGCGCACGCGCCTGAGCCAAACGGCAGAAGAGCGCGCCACATGCCCCCCCCCCCCCCCCCCCCCCCCCCAAGGACCTCCGTGTAAAGTCGGGGAGGGGTGAGACAGCGCAGAAGTCAGCTGCCGCGCGAGGCCCAAGCGCGCCCGCAAAGCAAACCGCGCGTCAGGCAAAACGGCCAGAAAGAGCTCGCACCCGCAATCCCTGGGAGGTCCAAGGATTACCAGAATCCGAGATAGAATGAACCCAAACGGGCCCGTTCGCCGAACATCGGGCGCATTAAAGGCAACTAGGCGTCGAGACTGGGCGTCAAGAGCTACCTCTACCAACGTCCCGCAGCCTCCGTCGTCAATGCGTTACCATGAGGGAATTGGATACCCGATGCCGAGCTGCGCAGGGCGCGCGCAGCAACAGGCGCTCGCAAAAATATAAGCGACCTAATAACGGTAGATTGCCCGGATACAGACGCATGCAGAACCTCTTGGGAGATTACCTCTGGATCTTTCGGCTTCGCATCGCAATGGCCTCTGATGGGGCGAAAGATTCGGCGCCATGCTCGAAAAAGTGGGCCCCAGAGGTTACTTTTAAAACGAGGGCCCTGTTGATACTCCCTTGCGCACGGCCGCGCGCGGTCACATCCCTAGCGCCGCGCCATTTTACAGCATTGGCAATACCTATACCCATGACCGGGCGCGACCGAGCACGGCGCGCTCGGCCAGAGCATATAATCCCTGCAAGACACAGACTCACATACTGACTCAGCCTCGAAAAATCCTGATACCATCATAGCCGGACCACCTATTTCCCTCGCGTCACGCTGTGCCTGTGGGGGTCGTGAGCCCGCCTGCAGCTCGCGCCGCGTCATAGACGCGGGATATGATTCGTCCAGGTTGCGAGCGGCCGCCGAGGATTCCGCTGCGTGGATGGGCCGAAACTGACGTCGACTTGATTTGCCTATGCCGTCGCACAAGTTACGACAGATGCCCTTAGCCGAGATTCCTCGCCGCAGAACATTTGCTCCTCCGACGCAGTGGCATAACGTCTCATCGCCTTCACCGCCATCCAGTTTGCGGCGCCGAGACTCGCTGTGGATGTCTGCTGCGCCCGCAGGGCGCATGCGAGGACACGTCTCCCTCGTGGGATCGCTGATGAGTTTCCCCGTTCTAGAGCACACGCGACGCATTTGGATGCCCGCAGGCCCCTGGATTCTGCATGGAGACCACGTGAACCATCAACCAGATTTGGGCGATGAGCGCGCAGAAGAAGGCCCCACAAGGGCTGAGAAGCACGTCCGAGACAACTTTCGTCGCCGTGGCCCCCGCGGGCGCGCCTGTCAGTTCAGGGCGCGTCATGGGTCTGAGCTACGCGGTACATTCGTATTGGCCCATGGCCACGCACATCCCCGCCCTCGTTTTTCCAATAGCTGGTGGCGCAATGTGCGCAGGCATGTCGACTGGGTTCGCACGTGCCAAATACCTGTTTCGACCTGCCAAACAATCGTGAATATTATGTTCCAGCCCCTTGATATTGAAGCTCGTGAGATTCAAACATATGCCTCGCGCTGCGTTACGCAACGTAGGAGCGCCCGATGGCGGGCCCTTGGTACCTGTGCCGGATTTCATACATCGCAAGTAAGAGTCAACTGTCGTCGCTCGCGCAGAATACATCAAGGGACCGCAACACTTAAGCGCGTCTTGCTGGAAACACAAAGCAGACCTGGCGAGGTTCCTCGCCCATTGCCGCCGCCAGCTCCTCATGGGTCAGACCTTCGAGGAATGTCGCGTCGACGTCCATGGATGCTCAGATCCACTCGGGATGGCAGGTTGCCTCGCTAGCACGCAGTCCCTGTGATTGGCGGCGGGCGATACCAGAGAACGTTGCGATGTCAGACGCATCATCGTCCATGAAATATCCAAGTACAGGTCTTGCGTGGGTGCCTGGCATCTGGCGGTCGAGGGATTGCCGCGATTGCGTGGCCCGCTGAATGCGACTCCCAGGGCACGGAAAAGAACAGCGGCCAGAAGTTGCAATTCGGCATGTCAAATCCAGCCGGTTGCGCTTCAAGGCGTGCAAATTCGAACCTCGTCAAGGTCTCGTCCAGTCGCTCACTGCTTGACACGCGGAAGTCAAGCAGCTGGGTAACTAAGGTGACCTGTCGTTCATCCTGCAGATGTGCGAATGTCACGCTCGGACTGCTCATGGCGTGAGCAACGGAATCGGCGTGGGGGCCACGTATGTTGACTCCGAAGTTGATGATGTCGCGAGGGCGCGCATGGCGATCTTGCGTGCAAGACCACCAAACCCTCGCTGGAGGGCGGCTGTTTGCGGTTGCGGGGTCACGCGCGAGCCTGGCAAGACAAGCCAGGCGTTCACCTTCAAGACATATCCCCGAAATACGGCCGATCCTGATGGGCCCCAAGACGAGGGAGCAATGCGGTCGCTTCCCCCACCTTGCGCATGTAGCCGATGGCGGGTCAATGCAGGGCAGCGCGTTAGTGTAGACAGCGAATTCCACTCAATGTAGTCTTGTGGTGCGTTGCTCTGGCGCGTTTCTGCGCAACGCATCCGTGAATTCAGTCAGTCGCCTTGGCTGCAGGCTTAGCACTTTGCCGCGTGGCGTCGTTCCATGTCTGCGCAGCAAAGAGTTACCCAGCTCGTCTTTCGAAAGATAAGCGAGCCTGATTGGTTTGAAATTCCTGGCCATTGGAAATATGCGATGCGTTTTGGTTTTAGTATCTCCCCCGTGAAAGTACGTACAAAATGTCGAGCCGGCTCTTTCGTGCAGGGCTCGTTTCCAGTCCTAGGTAGATACACGGAGTCGCGGGTGGTGTGGGCTCATAGTTGTGAGCACACTAGAGCAATAAGCTGAAACCAAATATGGGAGCCAATCACACGAGAGCGTGGTCAGCACCGGTACCAAGTCGAAAGCAACGTGCTAACACCACAGATCATAGATCCTAGATACGAGACATCAGGATAAACGTTAGTATGAAATCTAGTGGGATGTCGGGTGAGAAAGACGCGTGCCCCCTGATCCTCTCAGATAGGTCGCAAAGGATTGCGGCGGCACATCGGGCGCATGTGCCTGAGCCAAACGGCAGATGAGCGCGAAGTGCCGAGACACCTCCGAGGCAGGCCAGTGGAAGCACACGACGGCGAAGCATGTCCAGAAGCCAACAAGCCCGACAGCCCATTGCTCCAGACTGCTAGCCGTCTCGCGATCCCCAACGTCAGCCAGCCTGGCAAGGCCCGAAGGTGGCCCTAACAAGACCTCAGCTGGCCCAAAAATAAAGCCAAAGCAAGCTCCGAGAGCATAACCCCTTGCCCAGTCAAAGCCACAGGAGGATCCAAAGAGGGCCACACATTGGATTCAAACGCGCGCATCTTCACACCTTCCGCAAGACGGCAAGATAAAATCTACCCCGAGCCCTTCAAGATGCCTCTGAAGGCCCCCAAGATGCTCCCAGAACCCTCCAAACAAGAAAACAGTCGCGCGCTTCCTGATACGGTTGCCTTCTCGCAGCTTCGGGTTCCAATGAGCCTTCACGCCCGATAGCCCTACCTAGCCCCAGGAGGGCCCAAAGAGAGCTTCAAGAGCCCAAGATACCCCAAGAGAGACTCAAGAGGTTCTCACGAAGGCCCCAGGAGCCCCAAGAAGCCCCAGCCTGTATCCACATGAACTTACAGATTACAGTATTCAGTCATGCGCTTACCTTCACAAGCTGGAGCGATCGGATACTTAAGCATGCAATCAGATTACAATCAGCAACATCAGTTCAAAACGGCCCTAAGCAATGCAATTGGAAGCTGGAAGCCCACTGACACAACCCCCTTGCGTAATTCAGTCATACTATATGCACTGGCTGAACGCACACACGGGTCACACAGACAAAAGACTTGCATACGTACGCATACACGCGTGCGCGAACATGCATGCACTCGCTAGGCTTCCGATTCGTCGCGTCACCTTCATCAAACCCCCACTACCACCTGCCGATGCCTGTCGGCGTCCCCTCGCTGGCCGCATGATGGGTAGGCACTGGCGCCAGGCCAGGGCACGCGTGTCGCCGCAACTGTGCTCCTGGGCGGGAGGGCTGGCGTGCCTGGATGTATAATGGCGACAACGATAAAGTGTATACCATCCGGGACGGAATGTGGGGGCGGCTCGGGGGGGCGAATCTTTACGCGGCTCAGCGCCCGAAACCTCTGCATTCGGCCGGGGGCCCGTGCTTCCGCCGCCGACCGCGGTCGGGGCCCGTGCCCTCGCCCCGGCGCAGCGCCAACCCCGCAGGCCAGTGCCTGGGTGGCTGCATTGTTACCTGTCTTCCTGTTCGCGGTCGGGGTCCGTGACCCCGCCGCCGAACGAGCACCGCAAGCCCGTGCCTGGGTGGCTGTTTCTTTCGCGCGCGCGGTCGGAGCCCGTGCCCTCGCCGCGAGACCCCGCAGGCCCGTGCCCGGGTCGCTGCCGTGAGTAGCGCTCGCGGTCGGGGCCCGTGCCCTCACCGCAAAGCTACCGCCACAGGCCCGTGTCTGAGCGGCCCTGCCCGTTGCGTACGCGGTCGGGGCCCATGCCCTCGCCGCCGAACTACCACCGCAAGCCCGTGCTTGGGTGGCCGTTCAGTTTGCGTGCGCGGCCGGGGCCCGTGCCCACGGCCGTCCATCCAGAGCAGGGCCCGTGCCCTGGCAAGCAGGCACGTGCCCGAGGTTCAGGGCCGGGCCTTTTTGTGCGCTTGCTCGAACGCACTGTCACACAATGCGGTTACCGTTTGTGCTTTCACCATGCGTGCAACGCGCTGCGCGCGTGGCACGCCGAGAAATAGATCTCGCCTTGTGTTCAAATCGAAACTACATCTCCAACTCTCCCCCCCACACCATCGCCACACTACAAACCTATTGTTTGTTAAATACCATTCATGGCCAGAGATCTTCGAATCATGACGCTGACGCCGAAGTCGAAATGACCTGTCGCATCGATCTGGCCGATACGATCGGACGAGAACTAGAGCTAATCGAATCGAGCGGTAACCTTCCCAATACATTCTGATTATCCGTCCCTCCTACCTCCCCTCTCCATCACTGTCCCTTCCTCCCGCCTGATCCCGTCCACCGTACCAGTCTCGTACTCCTTCCCTCCCTCCTTCCCACGTTCCTCCTCAGCATCCCCATCCCACCACGAGACGCAGGTTGCTGGACCACTCAGCTTGTAGGTCCAGAGGTGACTCAAGTCTGCGGCCATGTAGGCCTTCGCCAGGCCGTCGAAGGACGCAGTTAACAGCACCTTCCAGAGGGCCTACCCCCCCTCCCCCTCCCCCTTCCCCTCCCCCTCCTCCCCCTCCTCCTCCCTCCTCCCCTCCTCCTCCTCCTCCTCCTCCTCCTCCTCCTCCTCCTCCTCCCGCCGCCTCCTCCTCCTCCTCCTCCTCCTCCTCCTCCTCCTCATCATCATCATCATCATCATCATCATCAGCATCATCATCATCCAAATCTCCTCCTCCACTTCCAACGGCCTCTGCATCCTCTGCTCTGCCCGCTGCTCCTCCTGCTCGTCCTCGACGTCCACTGGCCGCGCGCCATCCGAAGAGGAAGAGACACCGCAGACGGCAGCGCGCGGTGGCCGCTCGCGGACGGCGAGCTGCGGGCAGGACCACGGAGCGCCGGCAGCCACAGAGAGGCGAGACCAACGGGGAGGCACACGCAGAAGAAGGGCAGACGACCAAGACGCCGAGAAGGCAGCCTGGGGGGGGCATGGAACGTCGGCGCACGCCAGCACAACCGTGCGTCTGCAGCGCTCCACCGGACACCACATCTCCCCAGGCAGGCCCACGCAGAGTCTGGCAACCGTCCAGGGTGGAATCACGTCTCCCAGGATCCGGGACAAGTGGCAAAGACCGCTCCCCCCTCCTCCACGTACAGCTGGCTCGCACCTCACTCACGAGGGAAAGGGAAAAAAAGGATTGTCATCCCAGGCACCGACGCATCGTTGTTCAGATCCACGCCTCGGTTCGGCCATTGATCGTTCGATCAATCGATCTCCCAGTAAGATATCTGAGACTGGACCTCCGACAAGAAAGAGGCCACGAGAAAGGCAAACAATACTCTCGATATGAACTCCATGGGATCTTACAGAACGTGCGAGCCATGACGATGAGCCTCAGCTGTGAAGCGATCATTGTATGTCGGGATCCACTGCAGGGATGTTCGCGAGGGACGTCAGCACTTTCAAAGGGCGCCGACAAGATAAGCCGAGGGTCCAGAGCCCAGGCTAAACCTCTGCGGCGGGCCGCGAGAGAACCGAAGAGTGTAGGGGGCGCCCTAGCGAGAAACTCTTGCTCAGCGTGTCGCGGCGGGGCCCCCTGCGACACACTGCGCCTTGCAGACTGGTTGAGTGCCGCTCCACCTTGTGGGAAGAGAAGCTGGGAAGAGCCTAGAAAGCACTTGCCTGCGGACTGGAACGTGCTCAGCATGTCGCACCGAAGCGTGGCGGGCCAGAACAGGCGGCGCGAAGCCGATAGTGTCCCGCCCTGTTGAAAGGACGGGAGGCTGGGAGAAGCCCAGCAAGCGCTGATGCCTGGGGCTCGGGACGCGCTCAGCGTGACGCGCCGAAGCGCGGCAGGCCAGAACTGGCGGCGCGCCACAGGAGGCTGACGTTCTTGACCGTCCGGACACCGTGCTGCCACAAGAAACGCTGCATAGGCCCGTGGTCCTCGTTTCAGCGTCCTGCCCGAAGCCAAGGAGGCATGCACCCACGGCGGCCAGAAGGTCGGGCCCGGCATCAGAGGCACCCCCTGCGGCGCGCGCCCATGATGGTCTTGGAGTGCGCGTCGGGCAACGCCTTCGGGCGGCCATCAAGCAGCCCCTCCCCATCGCACGCCCCTCTTCGGCGGGGCGGGAGCGGGGAGCGGGTGGGACCATCACCCCTCCCCATATCCGCCCCTCCAGCTCTGCCCCCCCTCCCCCCCCTGCCCTCCAGCTCTCCCCCTCTCCCCTCCACCCCCCTCACCTCCGCAAGTGTTCCCTCCTCACTCCCCCGAAGATGGCCAAGGAGTGCCCCGCCCTCTCCGCTACGACACGCGTCGGCGGACAGAGAAAAAATCAGCGCGATGGGAAGGGATCCGCCACTGTGCCGCTGGGCACGAAGTGGGCGTGTCCTCGGGTCCTTTCCCCGATCCCCTGAGAGACAGCGGCTGGGCCAAGAGAGCAGGTGAAAGATGAGATGCCGTTGTGCCGGATGCCCCGCGCAGGCGCTCAAGAGGAGCATCCTCCACCACCCCTCAAGACGAAACCAAGATGAAGACAAATCCAGATGCTCCGCCACCGTGCCGCTGGGCACGGAACGGGCGTGTCCTCAGGTCCTTTGCCCAATCCCCTAAGCCTCGGTCGTCAGTTCTGAGGAGTCAGTTGGGGACCCAGGCCCACATTTCCGAAACCTCCTGGGGCTTGTCGCGTGCCCCCTGGGCTCCCGCGCATCTTGTCGCGTGACTTTTTCGGACCCAGGAGGGCCCCGATACGCCCAGAGATCGGCCCAAGACGCCCAAAAATGAGCCCAAGACGGTCCAAGAGGCCTCCAAGACGGCCCCAGAGGCCTCCATGAGGCTTCCCAAGAGGGCCCCAAGAGGCCAAAATCATTGATTTCCCGTGAATTTTGAAGGATTGTGGTGTTCTCGACTTCGGATTTCCGTCGCTCCAAGACGGCCCAAGAGGCCCCCAAGACCACCCGAAGACGGCCCAAGAGGCCTCCAAGAGAGCCCCAAGACGGCCTAAGAACGCCCCAAGACTACCCAAGAGGCGCCCAAGACGGCCCAAGAGGGCACCAAGACGGCCCCAAAAACCCTCCAAGAGAGGGAACACGAACCGAAAATCCAAGCCTTCCGCCCCAAGAAACCCCCAGGAGGCCCCAAGAGGCGCCCAAGAGGCCCGCCCCCAAGAGGCCCCAAGAGGCCCCACGAGGCCCAAAAGGGGCCCCAGGAGAACCAAAACAACCCCCAAAATGCTTCAAAACTGCCTCCAAGAGGCCCCCTAAAGGCCCACCACGAGATCCCAACGAACACCCAAGGCTTCATACCCACAACCCAGGCACGGTGGCGGGATGGGCCGAAGGTCCTTAGATCCGCCGCCCCCTGCTTGCAGGGGTGCACGGCGTGCTGGATGAGCTGTCAGGTTTTGGTTTTGGTTCTTTTTCCAAAAGAACTCCCCAGTGGGCTCCGGCAGAACCCGCCGGCCACCCGGAAGGTGCTCAACGACCGGAAAAAATCTTCCAAAAAACGGCCGTTTCGCTCGGGACATCCTCAAAAAATCGCGAAGATGGCCCAAGATGGCCTCCAAGTCCGCCCGAGATGGTCCAAGACGGCCTCCAAAACGGCCCAAGAGAGTCCAAGACGGCCCAAGACGGCCCAAGAGGCCCCCCAGAGGCCTCCCAGACGGCCCAAGAGGCCTCCAAGAGGTCCTCCAGGAGAGTCCGAAGAGGCCAAAATCATTGATTTTTCCTTGGTTTTTGAAGGATTCTGGCATTTGCGCCTTTTCGGCTCTCCGACGGCTCGAGACGGCCCAAGAAGCCCCCAAGATCGCCCAAGAGGCCCCCAAGAGAGCCCCATGATGGCCCAAGTGGCCTCCAAGATGGCCCCTAGAGGGCCCCAAGAGGGCCCAAGAGGCCTCCAACACGCCCAAGATGGCCTCCCAGACGCCCAAGATGGCCTCCAAGACGGCCCTGGAGCATTCCAAGCGGGCCCCAAGTCGGCCCATAGAGGCCCCCCAAACGGCTTCCGACGGCTTCAGACGTGCCAGGAACCCACCAAGATGGCCGAAGTTGGCTCGAAGCTGGCCCGAGACGGCCCAAAAAGCCCCAAAGATCGCCCAAAGCTTGCCCAAGAGGCCTCCAAGACGGCCAAGATGACCTTCAAGATGCCCACGTGTTCCCCGAAGGCTTTCCAAACCGATTCGGGGAACACGTGGTCCGATGGCTTGGCAGGTCTGGCCTCGACGTTCGGCCACATAGGCGCTTCCACAAAGGCAGGGGGCGGCGGTGATTCGCCGTAGGCGTCTGTCGATCCGCCGCCCCCTGTTGGCTTGCCACAACCGTGCCAGGCGCGCTGAATCCTATATGGCACGATTCTTTTCTTCCAAAGAAACTCCCCCTGGGGCTCCGGCCCAGGGCGCCGGCCACCCAGAAGGGACCCGCAAACAATCTCAACGTCCGACAAAAATCCCAAAGACCGCTCAAGATGGCCTCCAAGAGGGCAAGCTGGCCTCCAAGTCCGCCCAAGAAGGTCCAAGATGGCCTCCGAGATGGCCCAAGAGGGTCCAAGATACCTCCAAGTCCGCCCAAGAAGTCCGAGAGACCTCCGACAGACCCACACGAAGCTCCCAGAAGGACCCAAGAGTCCTCCTCCTGCTCCTTCTCCTCCGCCTCCTCCTCCTCCTCCTCCTCCTACTCCTCAGCCTCGTCAGCCTCCTCTTCCTCTTCCTCCTCCTCCTCCTCCTCATCCTCCTCCTCTTCTTCCTCATCCTCCTCCCTATTTGTCCTCCCTCTCCTCCGCGTCTTCTTTCTCCCCCGCGTGTTCCCCAGAGGGTTTCCTCAACGGCTGAGGGAGCACATGGTCGGATAGCTTGGCAGAGCTCTGGCCACGACGTTCGGCCACATGGGCGATTTAAAAAGGCAGGGGCGGCGGTGATTCGCCGTAGGCATTTTCGTAAGTGGGAGGGGTAGGATGTCAGATCAAGTTAGCCAGATCGAGCGAGTGAGAGGGCTCCGCCTACTCCCACCCTCCCTCCCACAACATACGAATCGAGTGCGCTGCATCTTGATATTGGGATTACAACGCGCTCCCACCTCTTCGCTGCGCCGGCGACGGAACGCCACTTCCGAGCGAAATGCGCACAACGTCTGGGCGAGGGCAACGATTCGCCCTCTCGCGCGGGCCCCAAAAAATAGGCGAGTGGAAGACGTGTCCCGCGTCGAGGCGGCAGCGCCACTTTCAGGCGAAATCTGCGCGACGCCAAGGCGAGAGCGACATCTTCGAACGCTCGCGCGTCGACGAATGTGCGTCGCGCCGAAACGGGAGCTCAAATCTCTTGACTAGTGAGCGCAGCGCCGAGGCGAGAGCGCCGTTTCGGTCTCTCGCGCGGGATGTGCGCCCCGTCTCACTCCCGCCACGCATTTTGCAGTATGGACGACAGAGTGTCAAGGTTGAGACACAAAGCGTTGATTTTGCAGCTTGTTTTCACGGGTAGCATAATGCTTTCCGGATGTGGCCCCTACCGACCAGTTGCGCAGCAGAGTAAGAGGATGTACCGATAAGGACAAAGGATGTGACACAGTCACATCTCGCTTGCCCTTCAGCTATCTCCCCTGCCCTCCAGCTGCCCCCCTCCGCCTGCAGCTCCCCCTGCAGATCCCGTCCAGCTCCACCTCCATCCCACGACCCCTCCGATTCCCTCGTGCTGCCCGCCCCCCGAGAGATTCCTGGGGCGGGTGCGGGAGCCGAGGTCGGCGAATTCGGCGAGGATGGCACTCAGCATAAGGGCGGTGCTGCGAAAACGTCGGAGGGGAGCGGACCAGGACACGACGAAGCCCAGGGCCAGGACACGACCAGGCCCCAGACCAGGACAAGGAGCCCAGGCACCCAGCTCGACCCAGGACCAAGACCAGGACCAAGGGAGCAGGAATTGCCCTGGGGCTGGAGCCAGGACCAGGATAGTGAACAAGAGCCCCGGGTACCTTTGGGAAGGCATTGATGACCCACTTCTGCCACGGAGCTCGGGATTCAGGCTCCAATCAAGCAGCCGACTCACGACTGGAGCCCCCCTCGGACCGCCATCGAATCGCCAGTCATCTGCCCCCGAAGTGGAAGAGCAGGGCTCCAACCATGGGAGGCTTCGGAGGCCTTCACGCTCCACCTGAGCCCACAGACGTGATTGCCTCGGCTTGGCAGGCCCGACATGGGTGCGAAAAAAACTGATGCGCGACTGTCAAAAACAACAACGTCCCCGGCGACGCCGACAGCGAGGCCTGCTCAAAATGGACAGGAAGTGCTGTCGGTCTTCGTTCCCAGTCCCTCTGTACCCAATTCAAACGTGCTAATCGGCGGGATTTCGCGTGGCCCCGGAGCCTTGACAGGGGAGGCACCCCCGGCGAGCATGTCCCACACCTTCAGCGCAGGGCCGCCCGCCGACGCGAAGAGCATGCCTGGCTTGAGCGGTAGGATGAGATGCCCAGAAGACCAGAGCGAGCATGCACAAGCAAACTCCCCCTTCACACACAGACACACACGGAGACACATACACACACACACACACGGAGACACATACACACACACACACACACACACACACACACACACACACACACACACACACACACGCACACACACACTGAACAAGGACAAGAGACCTTCCGGGCTGACGGTGTCGATAGATGCGTAGTCTTGGACACTTGAAATTCAGCATTGCGCGGCTGACAGGAAGTAACATAAACACTCATATACACATGGACGGACCGCGAGGAGGTGAAGGGAAGACAAAAGAAGAGAGAGGGATGAGGCAGAGAATGTCGACCTCTGGCCCTACTACGCCAGCTGGGCGTCACCAGGACACACACACATATACATGTATACATATACATATGCATATGCATATGCATATGCATGTACTTATACATAGACATATGCACATACATATACATATACATACACATATACATATACGTAGGCATGTGCATGTACTATGCATATACATGTATGTGTGCATGTACATGTACACGTGCATGTACATGTGCATGTACATGCACATGCAAATACAAATATACGTGTGCAAGCATATGTACATATACGCATGCATATGCATATGCGTATGCATATGCATATGCAGTTACACATACACATACACATACATATATAAACATACATAAATACATACGCACATACATACAATATGTATACGTATACATGTGCATACAACTATACATCTACGTATACATATACATACAAATATACACATACATAAACATGAACGAATACATACGTGTACAACTATGTGTATAAATACGGATACGTGTACATATACATGCACGTGTATACATATGTGTGTACGTGTACCTCGACATATGCATGTACATATGTATATATACATATACAAACACATGTGCATGTACACATGTATAAGCGTATACAGATAGACATGTATACATATTTACAGACATGCACCTGTGTATGTAGTATATGAATGTGCATGTATTGCACGTCTACATACTTGTATATAGACATGCATAACCACGCGTACATGCATGCATGCATACATACATACGTACGTACATACATGCATACATACATACATGTATACATACAGGACATAGAAATGTGTTCATATGTATACACATGTACAGATACATATAGATATGAGTCCGCCACCGTGCCTCTGGGCACGGAGTGGGCGTCCTCAGGTACTTTGCCTAAGCCCCGGGGCCTCAGTTCTCAGCCCCGAAGAAGCTTTCAGGAGCCCAGTCGCCAAATTCCGAAATCTGGCGGGGCTCCCGGCGTGCCCCCTGGGCTCCCCGCATCTTGTCCCGTGATTTGTTCAGGCCCAAGAAGGCCCGAAGACGGGCCAAGAGGGCCCCACGAGGCCCCGAAGAGAGTCCAAGATGACCTCGGATCACCGAAAGATCGTTCCAAGACGCCCAAGATGGCCTCAAGATGGCCCAAGAGGCCCCCAAGACGCACCAAGAGACCTCCCAAGAGGGCCCCAAGAGGCAAAAATAATTGATGTTCCTTAGATGTTTGAAGGATGTGGGCGTTCTCGCATTTTCGGCTCTCCGACGCTCCAAGACGGCCCACGAGGCCCCCAAGACCACCCCAAAACAGCTCAAGAGGCCTCGAAGAGGACCCCAAGACGGCATAAGAGCGCCGCAAGACAGCCCAAGAGGCGCCCAAGACGGCGCAAGACGGCCCAAAAAAAGAGCCCAAGAAAGGGAACACGAACCGAAAATCCGAGCCTTCCGCCCCATGAGGCCCTCAGGAGGCCCCAAGAGGCGCCCAGGAGGCCCCAAGAGGCCACCAAGAGGCCCCAAGGAGGGCCCCAAGAGGCCCCCAAGAGGCCCCCAAGAAGCCCAAAAGAGGCCCCAAAACAACATGCAGCAAGCATACATACATACATACATACATACATAGATTCATTCCTACATACATACATACATACATACATACCTACATACATGCATGCATGCATGCATACATGCATGCGTGTATGCATACATACATGCATGCATGCATGCACGCATACACTCACACATACATACATGCCTACATGTACATATACATACGCACATACATGCATACAGAAATCAATACACGCATGCATACATACAGGACATCCAAGCATACACACACACACACCTTACACGCAATACGTCAATACATACGTGAATGCGTGCGTACGTACGTACATGTATACATGCATATGCATGCATACATGCAAGCATGCAAACAGGCGTACATACACACATAAATGCATCCACACATACATGCATACATACATACAAACATAAAACAACACCGTCAGACATGGAAACATATCTGCATATATGAATACCGACATGTCTGCATACATATATATATATATATATATATGTATGCATATAAACATACAGTCAATCAACCACACATACATTATATACAAAACATAAATACGCACATATGTGTATACGTGCGTACGTACGTACGCACATGCATACATACATAGATGCAAACACGCATGCATGCAAGCATGCGTACATACATGCATACATGCATGCATGCATACATACACACATGCACACATACTAACATACACGCATGCACGCATACGCTCACATACATATATATATATATATGTATATATATGTGTCATACATGCGTACAGGCATACATACCTATGCAAATACCTACACATGTACACAACTATACACATGCATGCATGCATGCATGCATGCATACACACATGCATGCATATATATATACACAGACATACATACATACATACATACATACAGACAGACAGACAGACAGACAGACAGACAGAGAGACAGAGAGACAGAGAGACAGAGAGACAGACAGACAGACAGACAGACAGACAGACTGACAGACAGACAGACAGACAGACAGACATACAGGCAGGCAGGCAGGCAGGCAGGAAGGCAGGCAGGCGGGCGCGCAGGCAGCCAAGCAGGCAGGCAGGCAGGAGGCAGACCGACAGACAGACAGACAGACAGACAGACAGACAGACAGACAGACAGACAGACAGACAGACAGACAGACAGACAGACAGAGACAGACAGAAAGACAGACAGACAGACAGATGCATACACACATGTATATGTGTACACCTGTTGGAGCGACGAAGCGTAAAGTTCGAAGAGCGAGAAGCGGGAAACGCACGCGGGCGGCACACTCCGAAACCAGGGACAGGGATCCACACGAGGGGGTCAACTGCGTCAACCGCAACCCCCATGGCAGGGATGCGGGGGGGGAGACGCAGGGAAAGGACGAGAGGAGGTGCCATACGGCCAGCACGCGAGACAAAACCCTTTGCGAGGCGCAGCGGCGGCGGCAAAGGCGGGAAGACACACACACACACACACACACACACACACGTTTCGGTCGTCGCGGCCTGGCGACTCGCCAAAGCGTCGGGCGCCCGCACGGCCAGAGCCGCGCGCGCACGCGGTGCCACGGCCGGAAGCAGAGAAAAAGGCAAGACGACCGGCCGGCCCCTCGCGGGACAGCGGCCGGGCGGCAGCGGGGCAGGCAGCGGGCAGCAGCCGCGGGAGCGGCAGGGCAGCGAGCGGGGCGGGGCAGCCGCGGGCGGCGGGGGGCGGGCGGGGCAGCGGGCAAGAGAGCGCCAGGCTGGCGCAGGCGGGCAAAAAGCGGCACGCGGAGGCGCGGCCGAAGGGGCACCGCGCCAAAAGGGCCTCCCCTGAGATCCGACGTGGCGAAAAAAATGGCAGCATCCAAAGAAATCACGCCCCGAGCCCTAAGACCCCATCTGTCTGCATCATTTTTCGAGCCGGATCGATCTGTGAGGATCCCGGGGGGCCCGAAGAAAAAGCGAAAACGCCCGGCTCGAAAAGAGGGATCTCAGGGAGGGGCCCCGGCAGGGAGCCGAAGGCGGGGCGACCACGGGGGGCAGCCGGGCGAGGGCGGAGCAGGGCAGGGAGGCCGCGCCGGCGAAGGCGGGCCGAGGGCGGGCCGCAGCGACAGGCCGAAGAGCCGCGCCCAAGCGGGCGGAGGGGGCCCGTCAGGCAGGGGCGGGCGGCGGAGTGGCCGGACAAGCGCGGCGGAGCCGCCGGAGAGGGCCGAGCGAAGCAGGCGACGTCTGCCGGGAAGGGGGCCGCGGCAACGTTGCGAGGGGGGCGCGGGATCCGAGGACGAGCGGCGCAGGGGGCGACGCCGGAGTGAGAGCTGAGGCCCCACAGAGGCGCGGAGTCGCGGTCTTCGCCGAGCGCTGCGGCTCCTGAGGCAGCGCCGGCCGCTGCACAGGGAAACCTCCCCGAGCGCTCGGGGGAAGCGCCAGCGTCGTCGTCGAGGGCACGGGGTCGGGGCTGTGGCAGCGGGAGGCCGGGCAGGGGGCGCGGGGCGGGCAGAAGGGCGCGCCGAACGGCCGTGGCGATCGGCATGCGTGAGAGGCGCACCTGGCACAGGCGGATTTTGGACGAAAAATGAAGAATACCCGCAAAAAAACAAAAATATTTGAAAATTGTTTTTTTGAGGGAAAAAAACATCCCTTGACTGTTTTTTGACTGGTTTGGAATATTCCTCTTGGGACACGCCCGACTTGAGACTGGCACGCCTATCTGGCGAGCGGCGGACTGGTGGGCCGTGCGGAGGGCCGGGGGGCGGGACGGGCTGCGCCGGCCTGCGGGCCTGGGTGGCCGGGCCGGAGGGGAGCGAAGGAGTTCCCAGCGCTCCACCCCGGGGCGCGGTCTCCCTGGCCAGGAGGGGGCATCGGGCGTCGGGGACCGCGTCATCGCCGCGGTCGGCTCCCGAGGCTCGGCGGGAACGGAAGGGGGGGCTAGCACAGGGTAGGGCAGTGAATCAGCTCACGTCGCCGATTTTCCCAGCGCCTCCCGGCGCCGGGAGGCGCCCATGTATCGAGGAATGGGCCCGGCGGCGCGGCCGAAACCAGCTGCACGCAGCAGATTTCGTAACCCCCCTTTCC